CAAAATGTAAGAAAAACCAAAATAAAGGGGGGAAATATAGTCTTTGTTTCAAGCATTAGAGTGAAGAATTGGATCAGTGATATGAAGAGACAAGATGACAGAAGAAAGATAATAGGTATGAAAGATAAAGAATAATGATCAATTCAATGACTTTAATTATTCTACAGAATATGGTGTTATTGGCTGAATTGCATCCCCCTAAAATACATATATTGAAGTCCTAACTCCCAATACCACTTACTGTGATTAATTTTGGAGAGAGGGTCTTTCAAGAGGTAAACAAGTTAAAATGAGGTCATTACGGTGGACTCTAATTAAATATGACCTATGTCCATATAAGAAGAGGAAATTTGGACACCGTGTTGCACAGAAGGAAGACCATGTGAAGACAGAGTGATAAGATGGCCTCAGAACAAACCAACCCTGCCAGTGTCTTGGCCTTGTACCTCTAGCCTTCAGAACTGGGAGAAAATAAATTTGTTTGTTTCAACCACCCAGTCTGAGCTACTTTGTTATGGCAGAAGCAATACTTATAGTGTAAATAAAGAAACCTACTTAAACTGTGTGTGTGTGTGTGTGTGTGTGTGGGGGGAAGACCTTGATCTGCAAATCAAAAGAATTCAAGGTGAAATTAATGAAAAAAGATCCTCTTGGATATGACCCAGAAATTTTTATGAATTTCAAAAACAAATTCTGTAAGCACTAGGAAGAAAATTGATGTTATCTATTGTGACAGAGATAGTTATCTTCCCACCCCAATATTGATCTCCCCTTCTTCATTTTTAACAATCACCGTATTTTGTTCCTGGTGGTCATATGCCCAGCTACAAGGCTCCATTTTCTAACCTCTTGTATAGCGAAAGGTAATTAGTGAGGCTTCTGCTTGCAAGCTGCTGAATCAGGGCTCATGGGCAAATTCTTTAAAGGTGCCAACTAAATTGGTATGCTCACTCCTTTACTCTTCACCCGCCTTCCTTTACTTCCCATTAGGATGTAGAGTGGTGCCACCAATCCATCTTAGACATGGAGGGACTTTGAGATGGAAGTCACATTGTAATCTCTTTAATGACATGGATCCTCTATTATAGCCTGCATAGGTTAAATCTTTTATATAACAGGAAGGAAATCCTTTGACTCAGGCCACTGCTATTTGGATCTTCTGTTTTATACAGTTACCCTAATCCCAATCCACAGAAAGGAGGATAAGTCAGGCTCACCAGGATTTGCTGACCAGGAAATGGCAGGATACAGCAGACAGAACAAAGGCAACAAAGTGTTGAATGGTGTTGAGTTGGGACCAAAGATATCTATTCTCAGCCAAGTGGACATTGATGTGCATGGGTGGCAGAGAGACATCCTCAGATGTAAATTAACAATAAATAAATCACTGTGTTATTTTCTGAGAAGACTATTCAATGATGAACTCTGATATATAAATCAAATTCAGCAACTCGAGAACAATAAAGTTGTAGATAGTTTATAACTACTGTGAGGACTACACACCACTAAATATGTAAATTTACTTATAAATAACTGACATTTACTTTTACAGGAAATATATTAACTGGAAATTATTATTTTTTAAATTTTTTATTGTTTAAAGTATTCCAAATAGTAGGACATATGTCTTCTTTTTTTCCCCATTGACCTTCCCCTGGCCTCTCCTAACCCCCGGCACATGCCCTTACCCTACCCCCAGTGTCTTGTGTCCGTAAGTTATGTGTATATGCATGCATACAAGTCCTTCAGTTGATCTCCCCGCCCTCCCCTCCTCCCCCCATCACTCCCCAGTCTTCCTGCTGTAATTTGACAGTCTATTTGATGCTTCCTACTCTCCACCACATGCCCTCACCCCCCTATAGTCTATGTCCATGGGTTATGCTTATATACATGCATACAAGTCCTTTGGTTAATCTCATATTGCCTCCTTTCCCCTGCCTTCCCTCTGAAGTTGGATGATCTGTTTGATGTTTCTATGTCTCTGGATCTATTTTTGTTCGTCAGTTTATGTTGTTGATTATATTCCACAAATGAGTGAGATCATTGGATATTTATCTTTCATTGACTGGCTAATTTCACTTAGCACAGTGCTCTCCAGGTCCACCCATGCTGCTGCAAATGGTAAGAATTCCTTCTTTACAGCGGTGTAGTATTCCATTGTGTAGATGTACCATAGTTTTCTAATCTACTCATCTGCTGATGGACATTTAGGCTGTTGCCAAATCTTAGGAATTATAAATTGTGC